GAGAAAGGTGCTGGGCTGGTAGAAAACTCTAACTGAGTTAGAGTTGTGACTTTGTCATTTGTTATTTGTGTGACCATGGGAAAGTCATACAAAATCACTGGATTACATAGCCTCTCAGTTTCCTGTACAAAGAGGTATCTGAAGGAAATGATTGCTAAAGTCCTCTTGAGCTCTAGGATTATATCTATATTGGTTAACTAGGTTGCTAAAGGTTTGTGCCTGTAAAGAAGAGCATATCTAATTATTCCCTTAAGACTGAAGAAACTATGTGCAGATAGCACAAGGAGCATATGCTTCCATCTGGCATTCTTGATGAATTTTACTGACTGTGCATATCTCCTCTTTATGACACTTTCAGAAGTAACTTTTAGAAGGAAGCAGTAGAACCAGCGACAAACACACATTATTGCCTCTGGGTTTTTTTCCCCTTTTTTGTTTTTGTTTTTCTTTTCTTTCTTTTCTTTCTTTTTTTTTTTTTAGTGATTTTCAGCTTAACTCAACTTTAAAGCTCAATGTGAGCAATTCAATTCAGCAAGCATTTATTTATTTATTTATTTATGGCTAGGCAATGGGGTTAAGTGACTTGCCCAGGGTCACATAGGTAGTAAGTGTTATGTGTCTGAGGCCAGGGCTGGTACTCTATCCACTGAACCACCTAGCTGCCCCATAGCAAGCATTTATTAAGTGCCTACTGTGTTCAAGGCACTGTGCTAACAGCTAGGAATACAAAGACAAAAATGAAAAACTCTTTACTTTTGGGGGCATACAATAATAAATAAGAAAAAAGAAAATAAAGAAAAAGATCCTGCCTTCAGACTCTGGTTTCTATTGGAGAGGCATACCTTGTATATAGATAAGTAAGTCTAAAAGACATATAAAATAAATTCAAGCTACTTTTTTGGGGAGTGGAAAGGTCTAATAACCAGTGATATATCTTTGTCTGTATTTATATACACATACACACACACGTAAAGAGATGTCTGTTTGGAGGACTTCTGTAAGAAGGTTAGAAAGCCAGTATTAGACACTCAATGTTGAGCCTTGAAGGGAGATAAGAGATCTTTCAGAGGAGGGAGAAAACAGTCCGAGCATGAGGGACAGAGAGCTTGTGCAAAACCAAGGAGACAGGAGATATAATATCATATATATGGAAGAGCAAGTAGGGCTGACTGGTGGGATCATGGAGTATATGAGGAGAGGCGTCATGGTAGTAGAATCAATAAGACCTGGCAACTGATTGGATATAGGGGATGAGAAAGAGTAGAGGATGACTGAGGCTGTAAGCCTGGCAACCGGAAGGATGGTGGTAGTCTTCACAAAAGCAGGGAATCAATTATCAATCAACAAACAAGTTTATACTATGTGGTAGGTGCTGTGCTTGGCTCTGTTCATTAAAAAAAATGAAAGACTGCTTATTTTCAAGAAGATTACATTCTATTAGTGGAGACAATATATATGTATGTGCATGTATGCACATACATGCATACATTATACAAATTAAACATGACGTAATTTGGAAGAGGAGCAAAGATTAGATCAGAAAAGGTTTTGTGTAGAAGGTGGCACTTGAGCTGAGTTTTGACAGAAACAAAGGATTCTTAGAGGCGAAGTGAGGAGGAAGTACATTCCAAGCATGAGGAATAGTTAGTGCACAGGTATAGAGATGGGAGATATGTCATGTTTGAGGAATAGCAAGAGGGACTAGTCTGACTGGCCTGCTAAAGTGAGTTTAATAAAGTGCAGGTCAGAACAGGTCATCCACCCCTGCTCATTAAAGGTCAGTGACTATTACCTCCAGAATCAAGTATGAAACAATTGGTTTGGCATTAAAAACCTTACACAGACATGTCCCTTTCCAATCTTTTACTTTGGTGAAAGTCTTACACTTTAGTCGTTGAACGTTCTGATCCAACCCCACCTAACGTTATTGTTGTTCTAATATAGGACCCTCCACCTCCTGACCACCCTCCTCCCTGGACCGTTCTGTCTCATCGCCTCCTGGCTTCCTTTATACCTCAGCTAAAATCCCACATCCTGGTCCTTCTCACTTTCCTCCCTCATACTGATAGCACCTTCCCTTCAGAATGACTTTCCATCTAGTCCATATTTATCTGCTATAGTCATTTGCATGTTTTCTCCCCAATTAGAATGTGAACTCCTTTAGCACTCAATGTATTTTTGTCTTTTTTTGTATTCCTGGTTTTTAGAGCATTGACTAGTACATGGTTAATAAATATTTGTTGACTGACTGTGGCATGTGGGCAGAGGAGTAACGAATATTAGGGCTGGAAAGGTAGGTGTCTGGTCGTGAAGGAATTTAAATTCTAAACAAAGAAATTTATATTTTATTTTAGAAGCAATAAGGAGCCACTGGAATTTATCAAATAAGGTCACTGAGATTGTCAGACCCATGCTTTTGGAAAAATCATTTTAGCAGCCAGTGTGGAGAATGGATTGTAGAGAAGATAGACTTTTGGCAGGGAGATTAAATAGGAAGCTATTGCGATAGTTTTGGGGCAGTTAGGTGGCAAAGCAGAATAGAATGCTGGGCTTGGAGTCAGAAAGACCTGAGTTCAAATCAAACCTTGGACGATTGCTAGCTGTGTGACCCTGGGCAAGTCACTTAACCCTATTGGCCTCAGTTCCTCATCTGTAAAATGAACTGGAGAAGGAAATAGTAAACCACTCCAGTATGTTGGCCAAGAAAACCCCAAATGGGGTCAGGAAGAAACAGACACGACTGGAAAATATCTGAACAACAACAATAACAATTGTGATAGTTCAGGGGAAAGGTGGTTTGGATTTGAAGTGGGGGTTGGAGGGGCCCTATTTGTAGAGAGAAGGATACAGATGTGAGAGATGTTGTGAAAGTAGCCACAACAATATTTGGCAGCCTCCTGGATATGTAGAGTAAGAGATGGGGGATCAAGGATAACATGTACGTTGTAAACCTAGGGTCACTAGAAGGATGGTCGTGGGAAGGGAAGTTCAGAAGAGGGTTGGGTTTGGTCCGGGGGAGGGGGAGAAGTTCTGTTTTGAACATGTTGAGTTGGAGATGTGCAGGGGACATCCAGTTTGAAATGTCCAACAGGACTGGAGCTCAGGAGTCATGTTCGTGGAAATGATAATTAAACCTATAGGAGCTAATGAGGTCACTAAGTAAGAGAGCATTGAGAGAGAAGGGAAGGCTCAGATTAGAATCTGGAAACTGCCACAGTTTAGGAGGCATTATATGGATAGTGAACCAGCAAAGGAGATTGAAAAAGGGTAGTCAGACAGACAGGTAGGAGGAGAACCAAGAGAGAGTAATATTACAAAAACCCAGAGAACAAAAAATATCCAGGAGAAAAGTGGTCAGTGGTGTCAGATGTTGCACAGAGATCAAGAAACATAGACTGAGAAAAGGCCATCAGATTTGGCAATTAAGAAATTTTTACTAACTTTGGAGTGAGGAGTTGCAGCTGAGTCTGGATTCCAAATAGGAAAGAGTTGAAATGTTCATGGGACGTAAGGAAGTGAACATTTTCTAGGGGTTGACTATGGGACCCTATACGTTGAAGGGATTTTTGGATCTAGTGAGATTTTTTTGTCAGTGTTGTTGTTGTTGTTGTTGTTGTTTGGGGGGGAGGTGTAGGCCGAATACCAGAGGGCTTTTCTTCAAAGGTTTAACAGAATTTTTACTTCCCACCTGTGCCTCAGAGAATTGGACTTTTTATGAAAGTTAATAAGATAGACCCAATGGAAGAAACTTGCCATAAGAACTATTTGTTGTTCAGTCCAGTCACTGTGACCAACTCTTTGTTGACCCCATTTGGGGTTTTCTTGGCAAAGATACTGACTGGAGTGGTTTGCCATTTCTTTTTCCAGCTTATTTTACAGATGAGGAAACTGAAGCAAACAAGGTTAAGTGGCTTACCCCGGGGTCACAGCTAGTGAATGTCTGAGGTCAGATTTTAACTCAGGTCTTTCTGACTCCAGGCTGGGAGTTCTATCCATTGTACAACCTCTTAATGGCCAAGTCTTCAGCTATTTAAGGAGATAATTTGGAACAGTGGTTTTTTTTGAAGTGTACACAGAACTTCATTTTGCTTCCAAAAAAAAAATACACAGTATGTTTTGGAGGTAGTGTCTTGTATTGATATTATATTAATAAATTATGCCTCTGCTTTTGAAATAATTCAAATTTCCAAAGATCAGTCACAGGGTACAAACTTCAAATAATATAGCAGCTTAAATTTAGAACCAAACATAATTTATTGTGAGAATCTGAGGTTTTTATTTTTTTTTGGGGGGGTGAATTTTGATGTTGCTTATTTGAAGGAATAAAAAGGATTTGCCCTACTTGGTGTTAAAGACCTCAACAATCAGTCATCCAACAAGCAGTTACTAAGTACCTACTGTGTGCCAGGAATGTGAGGCATACAAAGACAAAACAATAGCAGCTCTTATTAATGTAAATGTTATTAATGTACATTTACTACCGCAGTGACCTTAGGCAAGTCATTAGGCCTTCCTGGGCCTCAGTTTCCCATCTTTAAAGCGAAAGAGTTGAATTAGATGGCCTCTTTCCAGGCATAGTTCTAAAATCTTTTGAAATGCCTGAAAAAAAAAATCAAGAACAAAAGAGGGATCACACCTGCAGTAACAATTCGCAGTTTTAGGGATCAACAAATATGTTTTTGCAGAGATGTGGCTATACTTCCATATCCACAAACATATACCTACAAGTAGAAGCCCTTTGTCACAAAGTTAGGGTAGGATACAAGAATTCATTCTGTCCCCCAAGATCAGCTTTCCGAAGAGGTCCCACTAGACTGGTTTTCCCCAAGCCTCCCAGTGTCCCCTCTTTTTTTTTTCTGGGGGATGCCTCTGCTGAGAGAAAGTGTCCTAGGGATACTTGCTCCCAGGAAAGGGGCAAGTAGAAGAACGCCCACTAGGACCCAGCCAGGAGCAGCAGCTGGCCCGGAGCATGCGCTGCAGACTTTGTACAGCTGGCCACGGCTGTTGCAGCGCCTGCCTTGTCGTCTAGTCTGTCCAGGACTTGGAGAGTTGGCTCGGGCTGGGGAGGGACAGCGGCTCTGGGAGGCGGCTGAGCTGCCGAGACTTTCCAGCAACTATTGCCCAGCGCTTTTCCCCGCAGGCGGCGGCTAGGAGGGGGAAGGAAGAGGAGGAAGCGTCTCGTCCTCCAGCCAATGCTACGCGGCTGGGCTCCCCGTGGCGTGTTGCTGCCCCGATGAGACCCCGCAGTGTGTCCCCGACAGTCCCTGGGCGGGAGTGGGGGACGGAGGCCAGCGCCCGCGGTGAGTGACGGGGTCTTTCTTCTCCCTCACCTCCTTTTATCGCTCCCCCCCTTCCCCATACCCTCGCCACCGGCTAGTCTGCAGCTCCTGCCTCCCGGGAGGTATTGGAAGCCTTCCGAATAGCTAGCTAAACTACTTAAAGATGGGATTTCGTTTTCTCCTGGATTGTGCTGCCCTCCTGGGCTCTTTACTCCTTTGCCTCTTCCTAGGTGCTTGGAATAGGCATTAGGAGTGGACATTTGGTGGTGGATTGGGAGTAGTGGGGAGATTTGGCTTTGTTGGCAGCTGTAATCTGTTTAGAGTAACATTGGGGCAGAGGCGGGGGACTGGGGGAGGTGGAGAAGGGTGGGAAGAGAGAGAGAGAGAGAGAGAAAGAGAGAGAGAGAGAGAGACTGTGTGTGAAACTTGGTGTCTGCACAGCTGCCTTGGACTAATTCCTATGTGCCTCCCCTCCCCATTTATAATCCATCATTCCAAGGCAGAAAACATCATTTCTCACATTCTCTCAAAGAAACCCAAGTCGCAGAGCGGAATTACAGCTAACTCTCTTCTCCCCTCCCCCTGTCCAGACACTTTCACACATGACATTTTGTGATAGGTGGGTGAGTGAGAACAGTGATTTAAAGAAATGTAACTTCCCTAATGAGAAGGGGCATTCACTCCCTTCCATACATCAGCTACTTACTATAAACCCTTTACATGTCAGGGACTTAGGGTTTCTAGCCTTTAGGACTGTTCCAAGAAGTGGCAGTCCCGAAGGAGAAGTGAGTTGAATGAGTTTTTAAAAGCATCTCATTAAAACATGCTGGGGGAAAAAACAGCAACCCAAAACAAACAGTCCCAAGATAATAGTCTGTTCTGCACCCATTTGTTAATAGAGCACATATTTTCTCTTTCCGGCAGGTGTAATCTGGGCCCAGTTTGGACTTTTATGTAGTTTAGGTTATCCTTCAACTGCATGTGCTTAGCAAATGTTTTTTGTTGAGGAGGGGAAGCCCCGTGTCCCATTGGTCAGACAAGACATCCTACTCTGAGGCCAGTGAGAGGATGTCTGGGTGGAATTGAGAAAAGACAATGGTCTGATTCCTTTTTCCTGTCTTCCTGTCTTGTACCCATTGCAGATTGCTGTTGCCTTGATTGGTGGCAGAGGATGTGGTAAGAGGATGGGGTTTCTCCAGGGGAGAGCTCACAATGGCTAGAGAAGATTCCGTCAAGTGCCTGCGCTGTCTTCTCTATGCCCTTAATCTGCTCTTTTGGGTAAGTACTTCTCTAAACAGGTGGCACTATCTGGATTCAAGTTACAACTAGTCACCAGATAATGCACCAAAGGGCATCGCTAAGCATTAATTAATTACACGGGATTATTCCCTTTATTTTCCAGACTTGTAAAGGTTGCCCTTCTTAGTAAGTTTGAGCCACCTCAAGTTCCATTCGATAATTAAAACAAAATCATTATACACCCTTGCAGTAAAATTAGGTTTGAAGTTAATCTAGGGTTATAAATAAATACATGTGCCTGTAGCTACAGATAAGAAAATTGTGACATACTGCTGAAGGAACTTTCATGAGTTACAGATAACTCTGCAACCCATAAGTTATTTTAGTCAGTTTAAACATGTAATTTCTGGCTGTAAAAAAAGTCTTACTGTTTAATGCAAATTCTTTCTACATATATACTTTCTACATACAGTATCTTATAAAAAGTTTAGCCGGGTATGTTATTTAGGAAGACTTTTCTTGGGACTGGGAATCAACTCAAAAATTAGCTTTCATGTAACCATTCCATGTAAGAGAAAATTTAAGACATTTTCGCATGTATGTATAAAATGCCACATGCTGCTTAACAAAATAAACAACAGAAAATTTAATGAGCTGAAGATAAATTTAATTTCCCCTGTGCTAGATTTTTTTTTTGAGGCTGTGCTCTGCCATGAGTTTCATGAAGTACATTTCGTCATAATGCTGTTTTTAAAAATCAGTGACAAAATATAAAAATTGTCAGTGAATAGAGACCAGTTCAAAGAATAGTTGTTCAAATAGAGACCAGTGGCTGCTCTGCAGAAAAAGTAGTCTCTGTTGGGTGTCTTTTGTTATGTGTTCTTGGTAATTTGTGGTCTATAATCTTTTGTAAGAAAATGGAACCTAGAAATAATAGCAATAATATAACCTGCATTCCATAACACTTTATATTTTTTCAGAGTGTTTTCATACATGTTTTCTCCTCTGAGCTGTGGTGCTTTACCTTCTAATAGAAGGTAATCTCTTAGATAAATTTAGATAAGATAAGTCTCCTAGATAAATGTAGATGTACTTCCGATAATGGAGCCTTCATGAAGTGACTAAGTTGAATGTTTATCAAGAAAGCCTTAGGAAATTTCTTTCACAAGAATTGAAGCAGTAAGTGGTTAAATTCATTTTTAAAACATATACTAAAACTCCTTATTTTTAAAAATTTATATTTCTTGCAAATTACATAAATTTTTCTCCACTGTTTACTGCTCAGCTAATACATAGAGTCCTATACTTGGCACATTATTTTTCAATTTTATCACTATTGTTGACTATGAAACTTATTCACTATGAAAAGGAGTATGTATGAGTTTTTCCACAAAGGGGTGATAAGTACTTTATACTTTCTTTTCATATTCTTTGCTCTCTTATACCACACTGAAAAGGGGAATTCCCCAAGCAACATGTAGTTATTGTAGATAACTAAAATATGACAAGCAGTATCATAATTAATTCTAAATATTTCTCTCAACTTGAAGTACCTTCATTTGTAATAATTCTTCTCAGCCACAGAGAGACATTTGATTATATTTTTACATTTGTTCATTTCTAGTTTCTCAGTAGGGGCAGGTAGGAGGATATAGGAAATACTCAATGCAGGAATGGAGTAGTTTCCATTTGTGTGCGTGTGTGTGTGTGTGTGTGTGTGTGTGTGTGTGTGTGTGTGTGTGTGATCTTTGTGTTTCAGCAGAGTTTGTAAGGGCTTCTGGTCATTTTCTGGGGTTGGAGCCATGGCCTTGAATAACTGCTTCAACACTTTCTTTTATATCTCTTAGGCATGGGAAATGTCATAGCTGGCCAGTGTGGTAATTTGACAGCTACAGCTTAACTGATTTCTACTTGAACCAGACATCACATGCTGAGTGTGGGGCAGAGGAAGGAGGGTTTTCCTTTTTCTGGCTCTTCAGGGTGTATTCTCCAACCAGGGAATCTGGCCTTGTGGTTCCTAGTTGGAGGCACACCCCTTCCTCTTGGCTCTAAGCACCTTTACAGTAGTCCCACCCCAATCCCATCAGTGACTGTAATATCAGCCATTTAACCCCCCCCCCCCAAGAATTACGGGTAGTGAAAAGTAGATCTTCTTCTGCAAAAGCTTGAGTTCCATAATGTATTGTTTTATTTTTGTAGATGTCTAGAATCTGGTCTGTTGAGTTATTGGGGGAAGAGTGGGGAGGCAGTGGAAACACCTTTGCATTCAAAGAAAAAACCTGATTTCCTGTTCATTCTGTGTTCTTTATGTATGAGACATAGGCCCAAGGGGAAACAGTCTTTATCCTTCAAGGTTAGAAATGTACTATTCCCTTTCTTTTTTGAGTTAATTACCTTGCTTTACTTGATTTTTCATGTGTTCAGTGTGCTTTCCCAAAGCATGGGGAAACATGAGCTCAGGGCTGCTGACGTGGGATTGGCAAAGGATGTGAGTGGTGGGGGTGGAGGGGCCAGTAATTGGCCAAAGTCCTGAACCACATCTGGGTCTGTGATTAGCACTGTGTGGCTGTTCTGAGAGGTGTACATAGAACCTGGTGCAAGGAAGGAGAATTCTGCCATAGATATCTCTTAGTGTTCCTATTTTCAGTTTGCTCACAATGGGGAGTAAAAGCAAAGCATCAAACGGAAACAAGACCTGAGAGGTACCTTCATTCTAATCAAAAGATGATGGGCAGAGTTAATGGGCATGTGAAAATCCTTCCTATTCCTGTCACTATCAGTTAACATTTGTGGAACACTTCCAATGTACATGGTGGTATTCTTTGAATTTCTTAACTGTCTTCCAAGTTTAGGGCTAAAACTGGTGGCTTTGTGATGTGAGTATTTATCTGCTCAATAGTCCTAGAATTATCTACTCATTTTACAGATTATCAAATAGCTTTCAGATGGTAATTTTCTGCTACTACCAATATGGGCAAAATTAGAAGTAAGGTTCTCCTTTTTCTTTCCCTTTGAAAATGCCTGAAAGTTGATAGCACTTAACATTTTTTGTGTAATTGTTTCTGTTTAAAAAAAAATATAATAGTTTCTCCACAGTTTTGTTAGAGCTGGCATTTCACACACATTTTGGCTAGAGCTATCATAGCATGCTTGTTGGAGCATACAATAGTAGGGTAGAGTTAAGGCCTGATTTATTGCACAATGAAATTAGGGTAGAAGTGTGGAACATAGTAAATCCAAGCAAACTTTTTCTCTCCTTGTAGACTTAGTTTTCTGTTACTGTCCATTCATCCGTACTTTAGTCCTCCAACTGCTACAGACAATGAAGAGTTAGAGCTTGGTGTTCTTTTTTATTTTAAATTTTATTTTTTAATGAAAAGAAATCTCTTTTCCTCCCATCCTCCAAGCCATTAAAAAAAGAAAAACAAATTTCTTATAACAAATATTAATAGTCAAGCAAAACAAATTCCCCCATTGATTGCATTTTTTAAAAAAAATATGTCTTATTCTGCACCCTGAATCCATCACCCCTTATCAGGAGATAGATAACAGGCTTTACCTTTGGTCCTCTACAATTATGGATGGTTATTCATTGATCAGAGTTCTTGTAGCTTTCAGAGTTGTTTGTCTTCATAGAATTGCTATTGTATCAATTGTTCTGGCTTAAGTCTTCAAAACTGTTCATTTTTATAATACTGTTGTTATAGTATGAATTGTTCTCTTTCTGTTTACTTCACTATGCATCAGTTCATACAGTCTTTCTGTGTCTTCTTGAAATAATCTATCCACATCTTCTATAGCACAGTAGTATTTCATTATATTCACATATCACGATTTATTTAGCCTTTTCCCAATTGTTGGACATCTCCTTGGTTTCCAGTTTTCTGCCACCACAAAAAGAGCTACTATAAATATTTTTATATGTATAAGACTTTTTCCTCTTTCTTTGATTTTTCTGACTTATAGGACTTTAAGTGGTATAGCTGAGTGAAAAGGCATTTATTATACTGTTCAGGAACATTTTGTGTATTTCCAGAGTGGTTGTATATGTTCACAGGTCCACCAATAGTATATCAGTGTTCCTATTTTCCCATAGTCTTTCCAATATTTATCATTTTCTTTTTTCATCATCTTCGCCAATCTGGGGGGTGTTAGGTGGGACATCAGTATTGCTTCCATTTTCAGTTCTATACTCATTATTGATTTGGAGGACTGGAGATTTCAGTAATCTTAGGTAAATCAGAATTTGCATTCACGTTTGATTCATATATTTATGCAAAAATGCTTGATGTTCTTCAAATTTTTAAATATAGATAGTGTAAGACCTTTATTTTGCATCTAAGGAATCAAACTGTAAACTAATGCAGAGACCTCTAACTAATGTTACATTTACTACTAGCCCATTAAAATTCACTGCACATTCCCTAGAGTAATGATATCGCTCAATTACTTCAAGTAATGTTTTGTTCCCTAATTTGCCATGCCTAAGCTGGCTACTTCTTTAATAAAATGTAGTGTAGCTCAAAATGGAGTAGCTTATGTGAACCACATTCAGTTTCATAAGAGGAATTTTTGGATGAGTTCAGAGGATTATTTAAATTTATTATTTTGCTGCTGAGATTTCTTGCCTTTCCCCTCCCCAACCTGCTGATCCCATTTTCTTCATACCCCTCCTCCTTACACCTGTAGGGTAGTTCAGGATAGTGGAAAGCATTCTAAACTTGATGGGGGTGGATAAGATGTAGATTGGAATACTTGCTCTATCACTTACTTGATTTTGTAACCTTGGGCAAATCTTTTTAACCTCCATTTCCTCATTTGTGAAATGGGGTTAATATATGTACTACCTACCTAACAGAATTATTATAAGGAGGAAATGAGATCTGAGAATCATGTGAAAGTGTTCTTTAGCTATAAAGCACTATTTAAGTTTAAGCCAGCTCATGATTAGCAGGCATGTAATACAGTGAAAATATACATCCTGGAGTTAGAAGACATGGGTTAACATCTCTTCTGTGCTACTTACAACCTGTGTGATC